CTCCTTACTGGTTGTATCCTGCAAAGCAATTAACTGTAAGACTGTCTTATTCTTAGCTTGAAGGTGGCAACGCTCAGCAGTTCTAAGGCCTAGAGAAAATCTTCATCATTAATCACTCTGTAAAGTAGGTCCTATCACAGTCTGAAATGAGATTGACAGCAGGGAAGAAGGTGTGAGCTGAGTCTTTTGGTGAACAGTGCCAAAATGAGTTGGTCCTATTTATGGTAAAAACCCACCAGACTGTGAGATAGTGTTGCCACCTGTTTTTCCAGGGCTCCTGTGCCTTGATGAACTGCATGACAGTCAGAAAGAGTCCTCATTGCCATACTCCTTGCAGTTCCCAGCACTTTCTTTCCTCCTGAATAATACCCCCACAGCAGGTCTGCTTTATTTTGGATGCTTTATGGTTTCACAAGGTGACTGAGCTGGATAATTTCTAAAAACAGCTATTTTGATCCAACCTTCTAGGTATAAAACAGGACACAGTATCTTATTCCAAAACACTGAAAGGCTGGACAACACATTCAATTACCATGTCAGACTACACAGGGAAGCCATTGAAATTAATAAACATAAACACAATTTCAACAGGAAAGAAGGGAGTTTAAAAATAAATAGGGCATGGTTTCTTGTCCTGAAAAACACAAAATGCTCTACATCTTACAATAGCACTACAGAGAAGATTAGAATTCCAACAGTCAATCCATATGCAAAAGAACCTTCTCAGGAAAGCTCCTCCATTGGCATGTCACAGCCTGGGGAACTCCTACAAGATTACCTGTCTACCATTTTTCTTCTCACCTTGACACAGAGAGTACTCCATCTTTCTGTGTTATACCTGTGAGGATGCCAGTCACAGCTGCTGGCGAAATGTCAGGTCCTACAACGCCAAGACCACGGCCATACAGCCCGGAAAATCTACAACAACTAACCAACTTCTAGGTATAACTCTGCTGCCTGCCTAATATAGTTAGGCGCAAGTCCTAAGCATTGTTCCGGAAGCACTAAAATCCAATCGGATCATAGTCACTCAGAATATTAGCAACAATTTTCTATTGCTTCCAAAAATCAGAAAATTTCCATTGACCTGTCCTTTGGATATGTTTTCTGACAATGTGCGTGCAAAGCAAGACAGCATGTGAGAAAAGAAGCCAAGCTTAATTGTTGAACAAAATCCAACAGTTTGGCACTAAAAAGCTGGTTTTCCTCCTAATTTCTAGTGGCACTTTGGAAAAGCTCCAGAGCACTGGTGGACTGGAATGTGCCAGTTCTTTGAAATGCCGGAGTCTGGCACTAATGCCTCTGTTGCTAAGA